TAAAACTGCATGATACAACTGACCACGAAAGCCATATCAAAGCACGTGGGACCGTACAGAAAACATCCAACATCACTCTTAAAGAATACAAAGAAAAAGCTTTAACCCGAACAAAGAAAAATTAAGGCACAATAATCACACCCCAAGAAACCCAACATTCTCTACTCACAATATCCTCCGGTGCACCGGCTTCAACCCATCCCGGACATCTGGCAAGGCGCGTCCGACCAGCACCGACATAGCATAAGCCATATACGCCTCCTTGGCCTCCTCGTGGAGTTCCACAGGAAGGATCCTCCCCTCCGGGGGCCCACCGCTCCGCTCCTTCACCATCAACCCACCATTGCTGCCCTCGCCACCTCCACCGTCCCCCGCCTTCCCCTCCCTCGCTGCTCCGGGAGCCTCCTCTTCTCCGTCCCTCCGCTTCGACCTCAGCGGCAGGGCGGAGCTGCGGGAGGCGGTGGAAAGAGGGCGGAGATCAACAAAGCCGCGGCGGGAGGACGGGAGCAACGTGGAGAGACAGGGGAAGAAGATGAAGGGCCGGGAGCGGGGAAGGGAGACGGAGGAGGAGATAAGGCGGAGCACGGTGGAAAGGCCCATTCCACCAGGAGAAAAGCGAGCACGCAGGGTAGAGGATCGAAGTGAAACCCTAAGCTCTTCGTTCCTGGCTCCCTTTTATACGGCAGTGTGGGTAAATTTGGATTAAGAACAGGAAACGGGGAAACCAGTAGACTGAAGTGTCCACCTTGTGTGTCTCGGACGCGGCGGGATTTCTTAAACGAGAGCGGGAAAGAGAGAGAGAGATTGAGACACGTATCGACACGTATCGCTAGGGTTTTATTTGGACTGTAGGAGGAAAGAAGGAGAGACTAGGGTTTTATTCGGACCAGTGAAATGAGAGTGATTTTCCAGAAAAAGCCCCAGATTTCTAATTTTTCAGATGAGACCCTATCTTCGTATTGCTAGTACAGAAACTACCTTTCCCAAATTGATGCAATCGCCCCGTGATGGTGTTTTCCTACAATCAGATTGCATATTAGGCGCATAGGACTAACTTACAATACTGTCATGTTATCCTCCTCTCTATGCTCCTCTTCTTATACTCCTTCATTTTAAAACTCTCAAAATCCTATTTTAAAACCATATTCCTAAAACTTCAGATTATTTTAGGCTTTTTTTTTCAAATAACTTAGTTTATAAAAATTTAGTTTTGTTTTCAATTTCATTAGGTTTCTTTTCCTTTTTTTACTAATACAATTTTAATATTTTAGCAACCTTAATTGAATTTAATTTGATTTAGATAAAGATAATATTTTTTATCTAAACTCATCCATTAATCTTATTTATATATCTCAATATTTCAGATAGCACTCCTTTTTTTATTTGTGTCCCTATTTAATTTTTTATTATTTCATTTATGTCTGAGTAGTTTATTGTTTTCTATATACATGAGGTTTAAAATTTAAAGTTTCTTATTTTAATTATGTTCAAACTTATTCAAGTTTTAAGATTCACTTAAGATCGATTACAATTCAATTATTACTTTTAGTTAGTATATATATACCTATTGTCATAACCTAACCTCATATTGAAGATTACTAACCCACTTTAGCTTGTTACGTTATACTTTACACTTTATGTAAATATTAATACTTATATATATGATTAACTAATATTTCATAAAATATTAATAATGATTTTTTTGAAAAATATATATGAAGTGAGTGTAATATATATATATATATATATATATATATATATATATATATTACTGACATGTTAATTATAATTCAATATATGTGAGACTCACACATTATACATTTCAATCAAATAATATAATCAGTTAAAAAATTAAAATCAAGTCTATCTTATAATAATCTACAACTTAGAAAATAACCTAAAAACTTCTATGATAATCAAATCAATGCATTGTGAGCACCTCAATTCTGAACCAACAATAACAAGGTGACAAATATGCATTTGTTGAGATGTTTAAAAGATTAAAAAACTACACAGAAAAGTAGGAAGAAGTTTTCAGGTTGTCCACGGAACTGAATTGCTTTTGTTAGGGGTCTTCTCATCGCCGGAAGCCCTAAAAATCACTTCTGCACATAATTGAAGTGCCCTAAAAATTTCTCAATTAATATAGCATTTGGAACAATTGCTTCTTGACAATTGAATTAAAATCGTATTAATAAAAAGGGGAGAAAGATAACAAACCTGAAATGCTCATGATATGTGAATCAACGACATACATCTTCACCGTTGAATTTGTTAGGATCAACAGTACTAAGAGAGGGGAGGTTGAATTAATGCAGCGGAAAACTTTCGATGATTAAAACTGTATTCGTACATTAAAATCCGATTCTGATATAATGGTTAAAACTGTATTCGTACATTGAAATCTGATTCCGACATAAAAGTCGTTTCGTGCATATAATAACTTTGAAAGCTTACGAAAACGTATTTGAAGTAAACGAAGACAGTTTGTAGTTAAGATAAATAGCACAAAAGAAATGCAAACCAGATTTTAGAGTGGTTCGGTCAAACGTGACCTACATTCACTTTCGGCTTCCTCCTCCGACGAGGTTACCGACGTCTACCAGAGGCCTTCCTTTAATAGGTGAAGGCCAACCACCTTTTTATAGTTTCACTCTATTTGACGGGCTTAGGAGACAACTCTTATAGATTTTTCACTCATCTCTTAAATGATCAAAACTTTAAAGAAAAGAGAGAGGAGAACTTTTGGTCTTTACAACAATTTTGGGCTCTAAAATTACAGAGTAAGATAAAGCTTTCGGTGCTCTTTCATGCAGGAAAGGGTGGGGTTTATATAGGCCCCAAATTGGTTTGAATTTGGAGCTCAAAAAATATTATCTCCTGGATTTCCGAGGTCCTAGCGGTACTACCGCCATAATTGGGCGGTACTACCACTCGGAGACCGAGCTCAGACGATGCCACCACCTGATAGGGGTGGTACCATCGCCTAGTCTTGCTCCGAGACTGAGCCCGAGCGATACCACCGCCTGACATGGGCGGTTGCACCGTCTGACTTGGGCGGTTGCACCGCCCAACTTTCCTGGGAGATTGAGATCCTGGGCAGTGCCACCGCCGGTCAAGAAATCTGGGTTCGAATGGGCTGATCCATTCGGCCCAATTTGGGTCTGTCAGGAGCCCAATTGCCCTCAGATTAAGTTAATCGGATTACCTCCCATTCCTAACTTAATATACATGCTAACTATGATATTTCTTAAGACATTTATTGCAACTTGCTCTTGTGCGTCAATCGCTTCTTCCGACGAGCTTCCAGCGAACATCCGACGAACCTTCGGTGATGCTCTTGTGGACTTCCGGCAAACTCTTAGACTTACGACAATCCACTTGGCGAGTTCCGACGAGCTTCTTTGGCAAGCTCCTGGACTTCTCGGATTTGTTCTCGCAGAACCTCCGACGACCATCCGGACTTTCGTCGAACTCTTGAACCCCCAATGTGATCATGGTCTTGACTCTAACGTAACTCCTACTGCATGTCTTACTTCCATCGTAGTTAATCCTGCACATATAAAACAAATTTCGATGTAGACAATTAATACTAAGCATTAATCAAGTTATCCGGCATGTCATTGGTCTCTCGACGCTTCGCCCGATTCTTCGACGCATCGTCCTCTCCTGCGACCTATTGCATAATCGGCCAATTGACTCCGTAACTCCGATATCCTTGGCGCAATACCTACTCTTCTTGGCTTGATGCCCGAATCTATGGCCCGAAGCCTTCTGTCGATACGTCGACCGATCCATCGGCCCGACATCCAATCTTTTGACATGTTCCTCCGGCCCAACATGATTTTTCTTACTTTAATTGTCTCATCCTGATCGAAGCATCCTACGTCACTCAAAACGTAGATTAAAACATAAACACAATTATCAATTGATTTCATCATCAAAATACAAAATTTAACATAATTAATATCAGACTAATTGAAATGCCCTAAAAATACTATACTAACTAGTATCATCATAATTCAATCGTTAAATCACCTAAATAAACCGAAATAATTACATATTAGAGGATAATAGTTAGAGGAGGAGATCGTTGTTGGAGAGTTATTGGAGATAGGACATAATTATTGAAGAGAAAGTTGTCGGGGGCTTGTGTTAAGCAGAGAAAAACTGGCACCAACAAAGTTAGCAAAAAAAGGGAGTTTGTTGCTTACGATCATCATCATTTAAATAGTAAAGGGAAGGAGATAATACTATCACTATCGATGAAGCTAGAGAGGAGAGGAGCCGAGTGCAATCAAAAGAGGAGTTTACTATCATCTCCTATACTACGGTAACACTCTTTCAATACAATCGCGAGAGTAAACTCTGTGTTAAGTATAAGATCTAACTCATAATCGACTCAATTCGAAAGGATCCATCCTACATTAATATAGTATTTTAAGTATAAGATATAACCCACAGTCGATTCAATCCGAAAGAATTCATCCCGGATTGATCTAATCCTGATTGAGAACCTGATTAAATCGAACCAACCTATAAATTAATTCATGAATTAGGTTGACTCAAGCATTGAAATTTTAATAAAAAGATATATCCATGTGTAAAGATAAAAAATAATTTGGTAAATTTTTATTATTGGGTTATTTTAAGGTAAATTATCCATTAATCTTATAATATGATTTAAAAAAAATCATATTTTTGATATTTCCTAAAAATAATTCTTTTAAATTTATTTTAATCATTTATAATATTTTTATGATAGTAGTTAAAATACTATAATAAATCAAAAAAAGTATAATAGGCAGGTAAACAAATTTGAAGGAACAGTTTGAATTATTTTTTAGTTTAAAATATTATTTAAAAAGCAAAAGAAAAAAAATACTGATTTAGAAATATTTATGTGAATATTTTTTAAGTAAACTCACTCATCTTTTAACAACAAAAATAAATGATGTCATTCCTCGGGATCTTAAATAACAAGTTTAAAAGATGTCCAAAGTTGCGACCTTTCCCTTCTTCCAACGAAGTCTTCTCTCTCTCCCTCGTGCGGTTCTCCGCCTCTGCAGTCGGACCTCTTCGCCTGCGCCACTTTGCTTCGATCCTTCTGCCATCCTTTCTCCCTGTTGCTCCTCTGTTTTCTGCCGTTCCTCTGCAAAGTTGATCTTTCCGTCGATTACCGCCGAGAGATCGGTTTTCTTAGGACGAAATCGCAGGAACCAGGCATGGGGAAGTTCGTGAGGAAGGCCAGGATCGGCGGAGAAAAGGCGGTCGTGGAGGCCGCACACCCCCAGCCCTCGCTCGGTGCCCGCACCAGGGCAAGAACCTTGACGCTCAAGCGCTTCCACGAGTCCTCGCTGCAGGTCGCCTCCTCCTACCTCCAGCTACGAAGCCGCCGTCTCGAGAAGCACTTCCCCGTGCCGTCCTCTGCCAAGTCCAGGGCCGCTAGTAAGAACAGACAGAGAGCTAACCGTGATACCAGGATCAGCACCTACAAGCCGGCCGAAACGGAGGTTAACCCGGTGACTTTGGTCTCGCTGGGCTCGGCGTCGACGAGGAGTCGCTGCTCCAAGGAGGCAACGACAGGAGCTATTTGCGAGGCCTCGCCGGAGGGTGATGCTGAGATTGAAGCTTCGTCTGGGGAGAATGTTCTTGAATTCGACAGGTGCATGTTGATTTTGCCCTAATCTTGAGGATTTTTAGATTTCATTTTGGTAGTTCAGCAGGATCGTTATTCGGCTTTTGGCTTTGGGGCTTTGCCACTGACTGCTATTTAGGTGATTTGGGGAGTTCCTCCGGATATTTTTGACCTTTAATCCATGAGAAGGCTTTATGACGTATAAAGCATGTTTTTATCTCTTTCTACAATTTTTTTTCTTTTTTTATTTGTTTTGATTTGGACGGTTTTTGTTCCGAAATTTTTATCTGTTAATGTCGGGTCTTTTAATCTTTAACTTTTTTTTTTCTTATTTACTTGATTTTTAATTTTCCACATGTCTGCAAGATTTCCTCTTTGGCCGAATCACTGAAAGAAGTTGCTTCTTCTATATCTTAATCTTGCTAATTATTCTTGGACCTTTTTAAACCTCTTGTAACTTTCACCATCGTGACATTTCAAGCACTCGCATCTTCTCATCTTTCGAACATAATGTTTGTTGGTGCTGTTAAATGATTATTGATCCCTTTCTTTATTACCATCTTCCTTTTCTACCCTCCACTGCATTCACAATCAATTTTTTAAAACAAAATAATTCTCATTCATTGCATTAAACGGCGTACAAGACCTCAAACATTGGACAACAATGCATTAACCACTAGGAACAGAGACCATTCTCTATTCTTCTAGTGTGTCATTCCTTCGTGTAAAAGCCAATTTGAATTCCTTGTCTTTTTTATTTTTTTTCCATCTTCATGCTAATTGTTTGTTGGCGACGTAATTTGAGGTTGCTCACCTTTCATCCAAGTTTGTAATTTGAAGTTGTATTCTCAACTTGGCTGAACATTCCAGTAGATCTTAAAGAACTTGCTACTGGTTGCTTTAAGTTATGTATCGTTGTGACATGTAAAGTTGTGATGTCTGATTAGAACAGTCTCTGCGACACTTTGGTGTTGCATATAGGTGGTTTCTAAAGCATTTTGTTTCATTCATTTGTGGTAGTGTGTTTTTGGCACATTTTTATAGCGAACAATCATGTGGGAACAGTACATGGCCAGACTTGGCAATCATCCGATCATGATCAAAGGGCTCTTTATAGTTACATTCATTGATTGCAGTCAACTTTTCTTTGGGAGCACCTGAAAAGTAAATGCTGGGCGACCATGATTATCCTTTTTTTTTTTCCTTTAATGCAATGAATTCTTGGCCACCTTTATATTGTTTTCTTCCCTTTTTTCTGTTCCTCTCATTTGTTCTTGAAGAATTTATGTAGAATTCCAGTTCCTAAACATTGCTGTTATAACTTACTGGCTGTCAATTTGATTTGATCGATACAGTGGTCAACTAGCAAACACAGTATGTGGAGAGTTGGATGATCATATCGTTGCTTTATCTAGATATAATGTCAGAGGGGAGAAATCTTACAAAAGCTTACAACCATGCCATTAGAAAGAAACCTTAAGAGCTGTATATGCTTGCCTCATACTCTTCCACAGTTATCACATGAGATGAGCTTGGTGAATTTGTTTTGGGCAGAACCTTCAAGTTTCTTTTCTTTTGATGCGTGCTTGCTTTGTTTTTGTAACATCGTTGACAATTTTTTATGAAAACAAATCTTATGTGTTTATTGGGTGCAGGAGTGCTAGAGAGACCACACCTTGCAGTTTGATAAGGGATTCAGAAACCATAGTAAGTCTTGGTTCAACAACCTGGCCGACCAAGTCCACTGCTAGCATTAAATTGCAGGCATCAGTTGCCAGTTGCATCCCAACTGCCTTTGAATTGGAAGAGTTTTTTTCTGGGCCAGAACAACTCCAACAGAGAAGTTTTATGGAGAAGTAAGATTTCTCAAATATTTAATCTTTAGTATTAGACAAGCTTCATTTTAAGATCATTATCTTTAAGGAGGCCATAATGGAACTTCTGTGTGGCTGGTTTATTGTAGTTAATTCTTCTATGTAAATGCTTTGCCAGATTCAGTAGGATAGCACTTGTGTGATTGGGAACTTTGATCTTCCCTATACAAATATCTGCTGCAGTTTTTAATGGTGCAGGAACACTGGTAGGTGCATCCCTCTTCCAATTTTGAGGGATATGATTTATTGGTTTTTTTGTTGTCACACTGCTGCATGTGTTTCATAAACTGGAATTCTTGTCAACATATTATGTCATTAACTCCTAATATTGTTGTCACCATTTGTCAGGTACAACTTCGATGTGGTGAAGGATCAACCACTGCCTGGCCGCTACGAGTGGGTGAAACTGGATCCTTAGAAGTTCACCAGTCAAGCAAACTTTCCTTTTGAAGCTCCGCCCAACCTTTTCACAGCAGGGCAAGCTGCAGTGGTGGTGTTAGCCACCCTTTAGAAAAAAAAAAAACAAACAATGGCACCAATACTACTACCCTGTAGTCTAACGTTCGATAGAACACTGAGCTTATAAGCTAAATCCTGGATGTAGAAAACCTCAACTTTTGAAGCCTCACGTGACATTTTGTGGGTGTTCATGTTGGTAGTTTCTTAGCTTCTCCAAATGTATCATATCCGAATGGCCCTTTTGCTGTTTATGGGGGTGTATACGTAGTTAAACCTTTGTTTACTTATCGTGTATACTTAGTACTGGTGAGAGCGAAAGTTCTCTTTGGTAATAAAGTGACCTGACCCCGTTTTCCCCCTTGCTTCTGGTTTGATAATGCTGCTTTTAGAGTTGTTCGCCATTGCAACAGAAGCTATCTTTTAGAGTTGTTTTTTTATTCTTTTGGTGATCTCGTTCCGGTTGCATAGACGGGCATGTTGTATGTATATTGTTTCCTGGCCGTGCGATAAGCATATCTGCGTAAATCTCTTTTTCTGATCCGTACGATGCTGGGCTAACGCAATCCATTATTTCTTTCTAAAATAATGGTGTCTCCTTTTTTTTTCTTTTTTTCTGGAACGATATCTCTTAATTAAAAATTATCTAAAATGACTCTCATCAATTTTTCTCACCACCAAATTTTTTCCTCGATTTTTTCACCAACTTTGAGTCATTAAAGTATTTTTCTTTAACTTATTTATGGTATTTTTGATAAATTTTATACTTTTTTTGAGATACTAAAAATACTATAAACCTATTAAAAAATATTTTGAGTAATATCATATTTATTATACATTTTGATTGTCAATAGTTATAGATCATTACGATATCATATTTTTAAATGGTTTCGTTAAAGCTATTAATCAAATTGATTTATTTATAATATTTACAAATAGATTTTATAGTATCTTTATTATGATGATCAAAATACTATAATAAATTAATTTTTAATTTTTATTTAAGTGATATTATTTATAAATTATTATAAATATTTATTAGAATCTTATAATGATATATCAAATGATTTCTAACATGTTTTTTATTTATTTGATTGATTTTCTCAATAGTATTATAGTGTTTTTGTTGAGCCACCGAAAACACTGTAAGTCTAATCGTCAACCGACACTATTTGTATGTGCTACTTATTTGGGCTCCTTTCGTATCTCCACGTCACGAAGAGCGGTAGAAACATTCCCTTTTGTTTCAAAAGTGACACCGATGCTTCGCTGCCTTCTGCCGCCCTCCCGGTATATTTGTGCTTAACAGCCTCTTGCGGCCCAAAAAATCTCCGAGAATGGAAGGAGGCCGAAGAGCGGAAGCGGAGAGTTCCTCTGCTGCTGCCAGAGCTCCCCCGGAGATCAGCGATGATTTGGCCGAGGAGGCCAAGGCGGAGTTCGGCGTTGGAGACGCTGAGGACGACGGCGACAACGAAGTTGGCAGAGACGAGGGCGAGGAACCCGGTGCCGATGGGTTCGTTCCGTCGCCGCTGATTCCCCTAAGCGATCAGGTGGAGAAAGACAAGGTCTTGATTCGGTTTGGCACTCTTGATTCTTTTTTAGAAAAAGAACAATCTTCTGTTCCTCTTTTTTTTTTTTTTTTATCTGGCGATCTGAGTAGCGTTTTTCTGTAAATAAGAGAATTTTTTGCTCGGAGATGTCGTCATTTGGAATGCTTTTTTGGGATCCTTCAGATTTTTGTCGGACCATATGCTCCGGTTGACGTAAAACGCACACCATTTTTCAGTTGCTTCCCTTCTACTCCCAACTTAGTTGGGATGGTGGATTTACTCTGTAAGCACTTTTGGTAATCGAGTTCAGATTTGGGTTTACGATATGTCCTTGGGAACCCTAGAATTCACATATCGTGTGTTGAAGCACACCTTTCTCTATGTCTAATATAGATATGCCCTTGAGGCCTTTGTGTCGCAATTTTTAACTTCCCTTTTGACATTGAGATGGTTGTAGTATTTGGCATTCTTTATAATCTATATTTATTTATATTTATTTATTTATTTCCGCATCCACAATGATTTTTCTTTACGAACACCAGTTGTATTCAGCATTCCTGCGTTTGTTTCCGTAAGTTATTATTCTTGGTGCTTCTTATAATATTAAGGACTTTTGCTTGGAAGACAACTATTCCATATTTATGTCGGACAACCTTTTCAAGATAGTCATTCAGTGGGAATTGCAATACTCAGTTGTCGAAGAGAACACATGCATGTGTATTGAAGGTTATCTGGCTCAGATAATTTACTTTCAATTGGTGGAACTTTCACTAGGGTAGTGAGAGCAGAGTTTTTGTTAAGCTGCAACCATCATGGCCTTCTTCTTAAATGGTTTCTTTTCTTAGAGTTGATATCAGTTTGTTCAAAAAACCTTTTTGAATGAGAGAAAGAAACACAGATGAATGTTTCACATCTCGGATCTGCAGAGTTTGGCTAACAAGCATGATATTTGTTACTTTAGAACAGATTGAACTTTAAACTACTTAAAAGAGGAAATAATTTTGTTTTTCTTTCTCGGTTGTCAATTCGTTTTTTAAGCTTCTGTCGAACTTATATTGCGATAGAGGGAAAAGGAGGGAGATAATTTTAGTAGGACATCAATTCAACTGATTCAGGATCGGATGTTAGAGATTGGATGAAGATGTTATCCTCTCTGTTTTGACCAATCTGTCTCTCTCCTTTGCTATCTACGTGGAGTAGGGAATTGGCCTTTAGTCATTCCTCGTCCCTCTAGTTTGTTTGTGGAGTCATATTTACTTTGTGCTTCAGTCTTACTGGCCACTTCTCATGGAAAAATATATCATGTTAGCAGTGACAACCATCTGCAATATACTCATTGCGATAAGTTTTTTATTATCAGGGAATAAGCATTTTATTTGCTGGAAAGAAAATTCATTTTGTAAGTCCATTAAGCTCCTATACATCTTGCAGGAAGATGAAAGTCTGAGGAGGTGGAAAGAAAAGCTGCTTGGTGGTGTTGACGGGGAGTTAAACAGTCAAGAGTTCTTTCACAATTTTTTTTTTCTTGACTTTTTGGAGATTTATCATGGCTCATGAACCTTGCTTTATGTCTCATTTCTGCAGGCAAAGTTGAACCTGAAGTTACATTTCACTCGATAGGAGTTGTATCTGAGGGCTTTGCCAATTTGATTACATCCTTACCAGTAGCAAAGAACCAAAGTCAAATTCTTTTTACTCTCAAGGAGGGATCCAAGTATCGGCTTAGGTTGACTTTCACCGTTAGGCATAATATTGTCTCTGGCTTAACTTATTCAAATGTAGTGTGGAAGAGAGGGATCAAAGGTACATTCTGTTTCATTAGAAGCAAGCTAAAAACAGAAACAACCTAAAATTCTTTTTGTTGCATATCTGTTACTGCCACCATCATTCAGCTAATAAACCATGATATTGCCAAGTAAAAAATAATGTATAGGTTTTTTATGGTTAAATATTGATGTAATGATCTCAAAATAATTTAGAAATCAGGTACATCTTTATGGCTGCTATCCAAGGCCACCAAGTATCTTCACAGGTACATTTGTAAACAAAATGCATGCACCGTCCGAGTTTGGTGACCTTGGCCTGTTGTTCAGTATGCATTCCATTAGTCATAATTGTAATTATTTCATACTTAGCCTGCTGTATAAAGTGGACAAGAATTGATTATCCGTCTCGCTATTTGTTGATCTTGATTTCTGCTCATGTAACCTATAAGGTCAGTCAATGAAAGATATGAAGTGTGTTCCTTCTAGTTCTTGTTTATATTGGTAACTGTTTGCTCTTGGTTGCACCAGTGGATCAAATCAAGGGAATGCTTGGTACATTTGCTCCTCGGCGGGATCCTTACGAACATTTGCTGGAAGAAGAGACTACTCCATCTGGGGTCCTTGCTCGAGGAATTTACTCAGCAAAACTTAAGGTTTTGTTTTTTTTTCTTCTTTTGGCAGCTAGCAATTGACTAGGCAATTATCTAGTTTAATTACTGTCTTCCTTAGTTACCCTCCCATTGTTATTGAACATAAAAATGCAACACCCAACGCCCCCTTTTTCTGGCCTCTTGCAGTTTGAAGATGATGATAAGAGATGTCATTTGGAGCTTAGCTATTCCTTCGAAATCAAGAAGCACTGAGGATATATTGTCCTCTACTATGATCAATCAAGATGAAGAACTACAAAAACAAGCACGTGTAAAGATTATATACTGCAAATTTGGGTGATGTAGCAGAGCATATTGGAAAAATGGGAATCTGATTGGGAGACTCTTTATGCTTTATATATGTAGAAATCCACCTGCATATTTATTGCATTCACCATGTTGTAACAGCAGCAAGTCACTAAGTTACAACCACCTTGCTTGCAGTGACCTACAAAATCATCCTGCTCTTGCCTTGTACGTGTTTATAGTTATTGGATATGAACTCTAGTTTGGATCTAGCACTACTTAGGACTAAATTTTGGGCTGGTTCATACAATTTGTATCGAATGTGGGTCTTGATTTAATGACTTGCTGATGCCCACATAAATGAGAACCTGCTTGTATGCCTTCATCTACATCTGAATTATGGTCAAATACTTGTGAAATGATATCTAATAAAGTCTTTCTAAGCATCTTATTACGTTTTTATCATATTAGATTTGATTGTATTCAGTTGGTAGAATCGACATGTGAACTTTTAAAGGCCTTTTTATTATTTGGAAAGGTTTCAATTCAAATTCTTGAATTAATTTTCTCCATCTGAAATTAAAGTCTTCTCCCTTGATAACTTCACCTTAAATTGATCAAAAATGAGGAAAATAAGAAAATTTCAACCTTTTAAGAGAATTTCTAAGGTTTTAAAAAACATTTGGTGATTTTTTTTTTAATTTCATCTTAAATTGATCAAAAAAAATAAAAAAATAAAACCAGTCTTTTTAAGTACTTAATTAACTAAAATTATGTACTTTTATGGTTCGAATATAGAAATGAATGATCATTGATGGCTACACTAGTTGTCTCTGCATGGTTTCATGAATATTTAGGCCAAAAAACATTTTAATTTAAGATTAAATTAGCTTTAAAATAAATTTAAGCCTTTTAAGAGCTTAATTAATTGAAATAGGACTTTTAATAACCCAAAAATAAGAAAATTGGTCAATTAGGACTCTATTTATTCTTTCAATGTTTCATGAAAAATTCAGAGTTTTTTCGATAAAAATGGAACTGAGTTACATTAATTTTGAATGGGATTATACTATCAAACCTTTAAAAAGTGTAGTCTCATTCCAAAACATCAATACCTTAGATGCCAAAAATTTTATTGTAGCTCAAAACTTTAGAAAAATTTCTCCAATGAAATAGAAGTGATTTTGTGGCTAAATTTATTCTAAATTCACCTTATATTGATCAAAAATTAGAAAATAAGATATTTTTATTTTTTTCAAGGTTGTATAAAATGAAAATATAAAAAATAGGTCATTTAGGCTTTCATAAGACATTTAAAAAAAAAAAAACATTTCTAAGATTTCAAGAAAGTTTGGCCAAAAAAATCTTAAAATTTCAGCTTAAATTGGCCAAAAGTAAAAAAAAACAAAACAAAATTAGGTTTCTAAATGCTTAATTAACTGAGATTTGATAAGATGTTCAAATATTTTAAGAAATGGTTATTTAAGGCTTCACTAGTTGTTCACAAGGTTTCATGAAAATTTTGCCCCAAAAAAAATAATTTTAGCTTAAATTGGCTAAAAATAACAAATTGAAAATTTCAATCCTTTAATGACCAAAAAATCAGAAAATTTAGTCGATTAGACCTTTGTTAGAAATTTTTAATATGTTATAAATTTTTTGTATAAAAATGGACTTGTGTAACACTATTTTTTGTATATGACCTCAAAACAATTTAATCTCATAAAAAAATAGTGTAACTCAGATTTCAGAAAAAACAAATTGTCTCAAAACTTTATGAAAGTTTCTCCAATAAAATAGAAGTGATTGTGTGGCCAAATCTGTTCCAAATTCACTATAAATTGTTCGAAAATGAGAAAAAAAAGGAAAATATCAGCTTTTAAAGGTTGAATAAATATGTCTTTTAAATGCCTAAAAGTGGAAAAAAGAGGCCATTTAGACCATTATACGATATTTCAAAGGTTTTAAGAAACGTTTGGCCAAAAAAATTAAAATTTCAGCTTAAATTGATAAATAAAAATAAAAATTAAATTTAAAATTTCAGCTTTTTAAGTGCTTAATTAAATGAAAATATGTACTTTGAAGGCCCAAAAATAGGAAAATTGGTCATTAAGACTTCACTAGTTATCTACAAGGTTTCAAGAAAATTTTGGCCATAAAATCTTGTAATTTCATCTTAAACAGGCTAAAAATAAAAATAAAAATAAAAAAATCAACATTTTAAGAGCTTAACTAACTAAAAACATATCTTATAATGGTCCAAAAGAAATTATTCAATTGGAGCTTAGTTATATATTTTTAATGCTTCATGAAAATTTTAGAATTTCTGACTAAAAATGGACTCGAGTTATACTATTTTTAAATGAGGTTACACTATCTTCCTATAGGACCCAAGAATAATACAACCCCAAAAATAGTGTAACTCAAATGTCAAAAATAATTTTCACCTTAAAACTTCATGTAAACTTCTCCAAAGATGAGTGATAGTGTGGCCAAACTTATTTTAAATTCACCTTGAATTGGACAAAAGGTAGAAAATAAAAAAATTTAGACTTTTAAAGGTTTAAATAAACTGAAAATAAGTCTTTCAAAGGCCTAACAATAGTAAAAAAATATGTCATTTAAGCCTTCATAAGAATTTTGTAAGGTTTCAATAAACTTTTAGCCAAAACACTTCATAATTTCTACTTAAATTGTTGAAATATATATATATATATATATATATATATTTCAGCTTTCTAAGTGCTTTATATATATATATATATATTATGATCCATTTGGGGAAGGATTTGGTGAGTGAATGAGCGGATTTATACTTTGTGGGAGGGTTGCTAGGGACACTAGGAGAAGGGAAATCTAAAAGAAAAAGAATTTAGATCTTTTTTCTTGAAAAATAAATACTTAATCTTGAAAAAGAAACAAATTCGAACTTCTTAAGCATATAAAGAGAGGCGACAGCAAAAGTGAATCGTCTCTCTCTCTCTCTTTTCATCTCTTCCAAGTTTTAATTATCAAGCCCTCTTTACGTATAGTTGTAGAGGGAGAAAACTCATAATAACTATCAATCAAATTTTAACTCTTAGTCCCACGTAGGGGACTCCTCCTAATTAATGAAGTCTTCTCAATTTGAGTCCAACTCGAATTGAGCTTAGGCTTGAATCTTTTTATTGGATTAGCTAAACTTGGACATGAGTTAGGTTTATCATCCCTGATCATGACTCTCAATTTGATGATTCAACAGTTGTTGAATCTAGAATTGATGATTGAGAAATTAAGCTTTTGCTGATTTTTTTTCTGAACCTCTTTACTAAACTCAGTTTTTGCCCTTTGATTCATACTCAAAATATTATTTTGATACCTCATTTTGTAGTAATAATCATCTTTTCAAAGATGATGTCTTCTTTAAAATCATTTTTTGTTCACCACCAAGTCTTTTATCAAAAATAATATCTTACTTGGCTCGTTCTCTATGGCTCAAACGATTCAAGTTCTCTATGTTCACAACCAACTTAATCTCCATATATATAGAGGTAACTCAAGTTGGCAAATCTTATAGTTATTCCTTCCCTAGTTATAATCATACAATGTCACTTTCCTCTAAGTGTAATCATACAAGATCGTCTTCTTAGAACTAACTTTTAACATGATGTTAAAGATAATTAAAAATATGATTAAAATTCATTTTAGCCTTTTGTGATTGTTGTCCTCTTAAGCTATTACGATTTATTCGTGTCTAAAATAATCTTTATATTTTAAAAAATATAAAGATTATTTTAGACATGAGTAAATCATAACGATTTAAAAGATCTATCAATAAAAACATTCGAGATTAAAATGAACCAAAATCCTTAAAAATATAAATTAGATTATGTCTCATTTACTGCTTAGCATTAGCCCTATATTGTACACTTGTAATATAGATGTAACAAGAAAGGCAAAAGTACTCAGGACCCTTTTTTTTTTGCGTTTACGCAACAAAAGAAAAAAAAAAACAAGGAAAAATTGGAACTTTAATATCAGTATCAAACTCCAGCAAAGAGAAAAAAAAGAAAAAAAGAAAAAGAAAATACTCCTCAGATGACTGAACTGGACTCAACTCTGGGCAAACACACAGCGCAGAACTGAAGTAAACCCAAACATTACCTAACAAGAAACTGGAAGAAAAGTGGGACGGAAGAGCAAAGCACATCATTCCAAGAATCAAACAAATAGTTTATTTGCAGAGAAATGTGCTTTGGTGCAGCTCGGCTCCTATCGGGATAAATCGAGAATCATAAAGTGGTTTCGTCTACAGTACAATTATTCAATTACCAGTCTGATTAGATAAGTAAAACCCACGAGTAATAAAAAGTCACGGGAGAAGAAAGAAAAGCTGTGATGTGATCCACTTCTCTATCTGTTGTGCAGCGGATTAGGTCCTGTGGACACCATTCTCTTCTCATCACCGAGTGCTCCACCGGCTTCTTTCTGCCCCTCTCCTCCGACGCTTTGACTGTGTCGAACAGGACCCGAGTTAGCAAAGCCAAACCCACCTCTCATTCTGCGGAACCTACCGAAGCGATCAGCATATGAGCCACGAGTCCCCAGCGGGAGCAACATCAACAACAGCAGCAGAGAGCAGGTGGTGATGCCCTTCCCGGAACCCATCCTCCTAAACCAGTCCCATGCTGCTCGTGTCCGACTGTGCGGCTTTTGTGGAGGACCAGTGATGAGGTGAGGACGACAACTCCAAACGCTTGGACATGAGGAAATTAATGAAATGGGTGTTGCTGGTTCCTTGTTTCCGGCTGTGGGACGCCTGGAAGTCTGCAAAATGTGCTTCCCTTTTGGTCAAGATGACACCGAGAGTCAAAATGCATGGGTGGGTGAGTGGTGCACTGTTTCTAATTAAAAATGAAGCAGCGTTTGTATTTGGAAGCTTCTTTGGATTCTGAACTCGAGACATGGAAGAGAGCCGATCGACACTAATGCTGGCAAAAGAACAAAAAGGATACCAAACATTCACAACAAAGAAGAGATTTTATTACACTGGTTTTTGGTCACTTCTGCTGCTAGTCTACGTAATGACATTTAGGAAGCATCCATTGATATCTGATCCAAGCAGTAGATGCATGTGTATATAATTCCAAGCACTATGCTCTACGTAAATCTGACCCAAGATTTCACTTGTTTTCTGAGAAATATCTATAAAAAGGTCGGTGAGTGGCCCTAAGTTCGTCGGATCACCTGCGGCCAGACACTTGAATTTATTGTGTACATCCAACATATATCGGGTATTGTATTTGATCGGTAATTTTACAACACCTGAAAATTTACTACACTACATCATTGCATACATAATTCTCTTAATTAATTTGTTCTAATTAAAAAAAATAAATTATTATCAAATCTAATTAATAATATCAAAATTTATGAATAACAATAATATGATTATTATTATTAGTAAAGTTTATGCGTTATAATAATATTTAAATATAAATATATCTAAATATAAATACATTCAAATATATTTAATAGGACTGGAAAGACTAAATAGTTAATTGTTGAAGGGTTACGATTGTGAGATGCTTCATCTGTCAATATTTTCATTCTGTGCACAGAGTTGAGGATGATCAGTCATCTCAACCGTCGACAGGATGTCCTTTCGCGATGGAATTTGAGATTCTATACGTTACTCGAGTTCAGGAGAAAAAAACACGAGAAAAAGGAACAAAATTGTGTGCAAACATGTCCAGGGCTTCATGCTGAAGGTGCACGTAATAGGAGCCAATGCACCACCAGTAAGACTGATCCGAGTCTTGGCATGTTGAACTAAAACCGGATGTTCAGGTAAACGGATGGAAGCAGTGTTCGATCCTCTTGCCGGCACTAATCTCTCGTCTCTTTTCCTCGTTCATTATACGAAGAATGTGCCATTACATCTGACCTTAACCTGAGCACTAGCATTAAGAAGCGTCGAGCATTGCTATCAACTTGACAGTAGTGACGGACATTAATTCAGTGGGAATCCAACATCCGAACCAAACTTGCTACATAACTTGAATATCTGGGAAAATATTCATCTGATATCCTAACATGCATAAGAATATAAAGCAATGTCATCATAGCAACAGCTTCAGATATATTGGCTACTACGGACCAAAGTACAAGAGAAATGCATACAGGCGAGGGAATAACACACACAGAACATTGCTGTCATAAAACAAACAAAAAAAACCCACATATTATCTTCCTTCATATACTCACACGTCCTGGAGGACCTCCTCTTCATCGCCCTCATAATCATCCTCCTCATCAGCAGTGGCATCTTGATACTGCTGGTACTCTGAGACGAGATCATTCATGTTGCTCTCTGCTTCAGTGAATTCCATCTCATCCATACCCTCACCAGTGTACCAATGCAAGAAAGCCTTCCTCCTAAACATTGCAGTAAATTGCTCGCTCACCCTCCTGAACATCTCTTGGATCGAGGTCGAATTGCCGATGAAGGTGGATGCCATGGAGAGGCCCCTAGGTGGTATGTCACAAACACTAGACTTCACATTATTGGGGATCCATTCGACAAAGTAAGACGAGTTCTTGTTCTGGACAATAATCATCTGCTCATCAACTTCTTTAGTGCTCATCTTGCCTCTGAACATAGCAGATGCAGTGAGATAACGACCATGGCGAGGATCAGCAGCACACATCATGTTCTTAGCATCCCACATCTGCTGGGTCAGCTCAGGGACAGTCAAGGCACAGTACTGCTGTGATCCACGTGAAGTCAAGGGTGCAAAACCGACCATAAAGAAGTGGAGGCGAGGGAAGGGTATCAAATTTACAGCCAATTTTCGGAGGTCTGAATTCAATTGTCCAGGGAAACGAAGGCAGCATGTGACCCCACTCATGGTCACAGATATCAAATGGTTCAAGTCTCCAACTGTTAAGACAGAACCAAAATTTAATTTTCCAAGTGTCAGCTTATAACCAACAAAAGCATATATATCGAACGCAAGCAATTGAATATAAAAAAAATTACATCATCAGTAAGAAAAGTCGCAATTTTGTAGTTCGATAAGTACATAACAAATATCTACATACAAAAATTCCAAACAAGCAGAACAAAATCATGCTTAGAGCTTGACAGTGCCCACAAAGGCAATAATAATAGTAAACAAATCTATGTCAATACAAAAACAAAAGACAAGAATCGCGTGCTCTTTTCTTTTTTTTCCGTGTTTATCATGTTTGTACCAATTTTTTTTATCCTCAATGGAAAATCCATAGCAAACTTAATCAGAGTAGATGGATAGTTCAAAACCTATGCCAAGAGCAGCTCATATTAAGAGAGAGGATGTCAGTCTAACCAGAACAAGTACATTATTGGACTCCTTACACCACCATGCAACTATAGTAAATAGATATTACTCCATTTTTAACAGAAAACAAGATGCAATTGAAAGATGCAACTCAACATCAATTATGGCCAGTTGGGATGATGTACCAAATGACAATGAAGGAATATGATTAGTTTCTTTCAACCTATTTAAAGGACATCTTGGAATAATTTTGTTGATTGCTTTGAATCTAAGTAAGCAAATAGAGAAGATTTAGTTTTAAAAAATTGAACGGGTAGGAAAAAAAGTGGCCAAATTTCTTAAATGTTCAATGTGCAGTTAAATATTTCAATAACCATGAAATACACTATAATGAACAAAACCTAGATAATGAAACTATAGTGAGGTGCATGACTGCTTACATCTCCTTCAAGTAGTATGAATCTCTGACTAGGTTTAGTTGCCTAGATAAATAATTGTGTAAGAAGAGTTTCAGCTTTAACCACTGAATCCTTGCTTCATTTTCATCAATTTCTAGACTTCCCCATTACAGCTCACTAAGATTGATGTATTAGCATCAAGTGTTATTATCAAAACAGCAAGGCTAGACCATATGCTTAGTTTGACCAAAATACAAATTTCTGGTGCAAAAAGGAAACTTAAACCGGCGTACCTTGCAATAAACCAAGAGTTGTCACATGGGAAAGCTGTTAGCATACATATAATAAAAGTTGCAGCTAGTACCAAAAAACGGACCCATTGAAAAAACCACCATCACAAATAGTGTGATTCTAGTACCCAAGTTTTTAACACTCAGCATTACATCTAGCAAGCTAATAGAAACACAAATATCATAAAATTGAAATGAATGCATACAATAGAGATTATTTTGACTACACCACCCAATCACATAATTCTTCCTAATGTTGAGAAAGAAGTTTATGTCTAAGACCCATGATAAACCTATTAGATGTGCTGGAACTAACAGAGAAATGGCAGACCATAAACTTTTGCATAAATAGCTAAATTCTAACACCAACATTCTAATTTCTTTTTGTGATGATAGAACTGCCAATTAAACATGAATCAAATTCGTCATTACATAAACAAAGTCACCCATGAAACATTCATTTAAAACACAAAATTGTGGATTTTTTTTTTTCGTTGTGTCCTGAATACTTATAACCAAATAGATTTATCTGAAATGAAATTAAAACCAAATTGTGGCAAAAAATCAATCCTCAACAATGTTAAGTACCAAAAACAAAATTCCTATGCCTACAACAAGAACAAAAATCAACCAAGAGGATTGACTTACAGCACTCAAAAAAAGGTGATTGACTTACAGCTCGGAGTGGTTAGCTTAAGAGTGCGGAAGCAGATATCATAAAGGGCCTCATTGTCCAGCACCATGCATTCATCTGCATTCTCAACTAACTGGTGGACAGAAAGGGTTGCGTTGTAGGGTTCAACAACTGTGTCAGAAACTTTGGGGGAAGGAAAAACAGAGAATGTGAGCATCATCCGATCTGGGTACTCCTCCCTGATCTTTGATATCAAAAGTGTTCCCATTCCGGAACCAGTTCCTCCACCAAGAGAGTGGCATACTTGAAAGCCTGAGGAGAAAAAAAATGTGGAAATGTATAATTGCATAATATCAAGCACATTCCAAGTGATAAAAAATGATGAATAAACAAGCTCATGACAACAAACCACAATAAAGAAATCAGATCAACATCAAGAATCACAGAAAACTAAAAGGTCCATGAACTATGAAGATTTTCCTATGATTGAATGAAAAGGTTTTTATTGATAAAAGATAATGAATTCACTCTGATCTTCTATAAAATTAACAATTTTCATCATAATCAAGACTATACATTTCACTATAACAAACTATGATTTTCATATATGGCATATAAAGCATTCAATACTTCAAAAGAAAAGGCAGATAAGAAAACAACAGAATTATATCAGAAGCAAAATCTTAAGTTTTAGAACACATCAACAGACAACATGATCCATACATCCTTGAGCTTTTTCAACAATAGAAATTTGCTCAGTGAGAAGCAATCAGAGAGAAAGATTAGCTGCACCATCATTTCAAAGAAAATTGAAGAGTAAAAGATGTTAATATATAACATTCAAGCCTAGTCTGCATGATTATCGATCAAAATTTTTTATCGAAAGTGCCAACAACTTATCTCAATTCATGAGAGATCATAGCAGATCAAGAGATAACAATAAGCAACATAAATGAACTAAAACAACAAATAAAGGAATGGAGAACATACCCTGAAGGCAGTCACAGTTCTCGGCCTCCTTCCTCACAACATCAAGAACCGAGTCAATGAGCTCAGCCCCCTCAGTGTAGTGACCCTTAGCCCAATTATTTCCAGCACCTGATTGTCCAAAGACAAAGTTATCTGGTCGGAAGATCTGACCATATGGCCCAGTTCGGACGCTATCCATGGTGCCGGGCTCCAGATCCATAAGCACCGCCCTGGGAACGAACCTCCCACAAGAAGCCTCGTTGTAGTACACATTGACCCGCTCCAATTGGAGATCTGACTTCCCAATGTACCGACCTGTGGCATCAATTCCATGCTCATCGCAGACCACTTCCCAGAACTTGGCTCCTATCTGGTTACCGCACTGACCACCCTGGACATGTAGGATTTCTCTCATTTTGACCTAAACCAAAGAAAAGTAAGCGAAAATTAGCACTTAAATGGGTAACAATCTGCATAAGTTGTTGAGAAACCTCACAGCTTAAATCCTACTCTTGAATAAACGAATAAGACATCATATCTTAGCGGGTTTATCCAAGATCAAACAACTATTCATAAGATCTAGAACAGATCTAAAAGAATGTCCCCAAAACACCCAAACCTTAGAAGAGAAGACAGATCTATAGCATCCAAAGATTCAATCAACCATAACCGACATTAGGACGAGAAACCACAAGAAATATTCCACAATGACTCCAACATCACGCAAGAACCCAAACCCACAATGCTTCAAATTCGAAGAACGAAGGTGATAATCCAAAAGCAACTAGGATCGGAGAAAGAGAGAGATGGATCGAAACAAATTCCTCCAGAACCGTTAGAAACAGCCACATAAATTGAAATCCGCTGTTTTCTCAAGAAAAAACGTAGCATTCGCCAAAATACAACATGCAACTGACTCGAGAACGCAAAGATCTTGAGGCGACGTGCCGCAAAATCGAAGAATCGACTTCGAAATGGAGGGCTTACCGGCGGGAACAGTGAAATCGGGGTAGCTTCCCAGAGTGACCGAAGTGAGACGGAGGTCTCGAAGCGAGGGGAGCCGGACTTGTGCGGTGGAGGCTTTATATTGGCGAAGACAGGAGAGGGGATCGGACGGCCACCACTCTTTCCCTCGCTTTCCCCTGTTGGCTCTCGGATACCGTTCGATGGATGGGTCTGAAGTCGATTTGTGATGGCTTCGAAGATGAGACCGACGCTTTGGACTTTGAAATATCGACAACCTTAATAACGATAATACCCTCGAGAGTTAACGACATGGACTGTTCTGCCCCCCCCCCCTCTCATGTTTGTTTGGATCCGTCGGATCCAGGGTTGGACGGTCTGGATTTGTTGTTCGTCGATCAATTTTGTAAGGAAACAGTAATTCTATTTTACTCTTTATAATTTTATTTTATTTTATAATTTTAATTTATTTTTTAATAAATAAATGCTCGTCGATGAAATATGAAATATTCAAATTTAAAGAATGAGATGGATATGAAATATTTAAAAAGCATATTCATCTCACACAAGTTAGTCGCAATAAAAGCCAAACTCAAATTTAAAAAGCTAACCCATTCTTTTCACTTTCATGTTAAAAGAATCATAAAGAATTAGATTTTTTTCTATAAAACACCTTTCGTTTATTTTTTACAAAATTAAGTTTTTTTTTTCAAAAAAAATTAATATTATTTTTAATAACGATAGTTTCGATTCGAACCACCAATCGTGTATTCTTTTTAATTAAAAATAATTAAAAATAAAAATTATAAGTTTATTTCTAAATTTTGAAAAATAGATGTATAAATATAATGAGTATAATAACTTTAACTTTAAAAATTTTGATATAAAAATAATAAAATTATAATTTTTTTATTAAACTAAATGACTTTATTAATGTTTAAACCTAAATTAATTGGATTTAAATCTAAAGATTTAACCATTATACTATAGACTTTTTTATATTTATTTTTTTTATCTTATTTAACAAGTTTAAAATCAAAATTACTTGTTTCGATTTTTTATAATAAACCACCCTAAGTCTATTCGAGTTATTAAGTCGATTTGATTTCGAATCAAACCTTGATCAAGACTACTATGGAGAGATTCCATTCCCAAATAATTTTTGTAAGGAGTATAATTAGGAAGAACATGGGAGTATAATTAGGACTTAGAAAATTTGTTCTAAAATAATTTTTTTAAGAAAAACTTTATTTTTCAGAGTCACTTTTTTCTTACATATATTCCTTTTTAGGATCAATTTTATCATATTTGATTTTCGAAACCCAAATGAGATTATGAACATTAAACATATGAATAATATATTTCGTATAAATAAATTGAGTTCTTAATAGTAATTAAATCCCAAATTCTAAAAAAATATTTCAGAAAAAAATCATCGAAGAATGTGATCTAAAATCCAATAATTGAGAGTACGTTGATTAGAATAGAGTTAATGACATGATTAATACAGATAGATAGCCTTCTCAGCGAGAGAAGACCATGGTATTAATACTGAAGTTTACTAGAAGGTTTTTTAACTAATCTATTCTATTATTTAATTGGAAGTCTCCCAAACGAGAGATAGGACTCAATGTATTTCATGGGCTACAAACTCTCATTATATAAACAATATATTTAGAAATATCAAGTAGAATACATACATGGGCAAATTTACCAAAAAGGGTTGGTTGCTATTAGACATAGAATATTGTAATGTTGTAATGCCAAAGGAAGACTATAAAACCGAACCCAAGTGGGTATCATTGGTGAACGAATGTGTCATGGTTGATGAGTAAGCATGGCTGGGTCCACGGGTCGATGTCGGAAGTCTTCTATCGATTGAGCTAGATGTCGAGGTAGGTCGGGCCCTCACGATGGGGTGTTGATTAGTGTTTCTCGGTCCGGGCGCTGTCTGCATTGAGCAGTGTCTCTCTGTCTCCAGGCTGGTTGGCAGCTCACCTTCGTTCACCGGACGACAATTCCCAGGTTGAGATGCTCATAGCTCGAGAGTGGCCGCTTTTCCTGTAAAAATGACCTTCGTCGGGTGATTCCCGACTTTGGCCTATCCGACGAACCAAGTCAGTAGTTGTTTTTCTATTCTTTTGTGTCTTCTCTCTCTCTTGGGCTGATGTCGGCCAAGGACTTTTATATTATTATATGAGGGTTGATTGCACACGGGTTCGGCGTGACGATTGATCCTCGGGGGATGAGACGGTACTTCTATGCGGTCGTCGTCCCGGGACGTGCGAGACGACGCCATCCCGAGCTTCCGGGATGGGACATGCCAAAGAGTACCTCGATATGGATTCTTACTTAACGCATGGGGGTACTCCTCTTGCTGACTCGATTGTAACATGACACGACATCGATTGTAACGTGTCTTGAACCCAAAATATATCTTATCATGACACTATTTTTTTCTAAAAAGTGTTGAACCCTAAGATTTCCATATAAAAAGAAGTAGAGAGGTTCATTGAATAAACCATATACTATAAGAACACGTAGCATTTCAAATTGAGTAGAAAACTTAAAAAAATCAATAGTTAGATCGATAATCCCCTATATATATATAGTTTAGGTAAACCAAATTTAAGAATATAGAGAGGAGCAGCCTTATCATCGATAAACTTACCACCCCTCTCTCACTATTGATAGTTTATTAGGATCTAACTCCTAAAGAGATGCTTGATTTTTAATCTTTTGAAGCTTTGTTTCATGAATAGTATCATGCTGTCAATCTCGAATGCCTTGGGAGTTATAGTAATTTGATCATTTTGAAATACCTTGTAGGATGATTGTTCAGGTGTTTGAGCATCTTAGTTTGGTGCTGTATGAATAATTGAAAAAAGAAATTCAAACATTTATCTATTATTCACTAATCCACATATATTTATGTCTCTCTATTTAAAACTGGTAAAAAATATTTTTTATTTTATATTTCTTACAACTATTTCTGCAAATAAGATATGGTATCTCCCTCCTTAAAAAAAAAAAAAACAATCAATCAAGACTGAATAGAATTATAACCCAAACAATTATAGTTGGGTTAGATTTTAGCATTACTATAAAGAAAAACATCAAGATAAAAAATAATAAAAGTCTTTAATCAATGTGTAGTAATATTTTTTCTTCTCGATTAATGCGTAGAGTTCTGGTTACTGTTTAAGAATTACGTTTCCTAATTAATGCTCCCACTAAATTCTTTCTCTGATTTATATTTCTATCAAATATCTTAAAAAAATTTGTTCTCTTTCTCTGACTTATATTTCTTTCAATTATCTTAATTTAGGAGTTCTTTACTGATGCTGATGAATTGCAGAAGCCTAACTACTCAATAGGAGACTCCTAAATAGCATTCAAAAGTTATGAAATCCTAATCAATGAATAGGGGATGCCTAATTAGTACACAAAAAATATGTTCATATGTGTATATTATTGAGATTAAAAGTATTTAAACCAAAGTATTCAAGAATATCTCCACTGATATGCTTTTTAAAATAATAAAAAAATTTAAACCCTGTTGGTTCACTTGCAATGTTTTGCAAATAATATGCAAACCTTTTTTTCCAACTAAAATGCAGTCCTATAGGTAGGCTTTAAACATATGAAGTTTCAACCATTCCCCACTAAGCAGCAAATGTTTCTAACCTATGTGTAAATTTTCATATGAAAATAAAAAGGATATTTAGGATGTGTTTGAGAGCACATTTCAAATGGTTTTAAAATATGAATTCAAATTTAGTAAATTTATTTAAATCGTATTTAGTATTTCAGTATTTGTAGGATATTAATATAATTTTTTACATTCTCAAATTGTCTCATCAAGATTTGTCATTATTTATATATTCTATAAGGTGAAAATTTATTTATTTATTTATTTAAATTATTTTACATTTTATTTATTATATACATGAGGCATACCCCTTTTTTTATAAGGTTATACATATTCATTTATTTATTTTTATTTTATTTTATTAATTAATTAATTTTGAATAAATTTGTTACATAATATTTAATAGTTTTACAAATATAATTTTAACAAATAATATTTATATAAATGCATATTTAAAATACAATCTTCATTTATTATTTATTAAATACTCAAAGTATCTCACAACTATAAATTTACTTTCTTTTTCTTTAAATATACATTAAAATATCAATATATTCCAAATGAAATATTAGAAATTTCCATGACTATTTATTTTATTTGCAAGGATATTTCATATTTTTTGTTCAAAATTTTGTACAGGTATTTGCAAGACAAAAGAGTGCAAATATATTTATTTTGGCTGAAGATCTTAAGGAAAAAAATAGTTTTAGAAGGACCACTTGAGAAAACTATTTTCACACACACACACACACACACACACAAACACACACAC